TGGTGAATCAGGGGAAGTAATGTTCCCAACATGGATAGCAAATCCTATCATGGTAAAGAAAGCCAATGGGACATGGAGAATGTGAATTGATTACTCAGATCTTAACAACGCTTCTCCAAAGGATTGTTATCCTCTCTTGATATTGATCAGAAAGTCCAATCGCTTAAGGGTTTCCATTTCAAATGTTTCCTCGATGCAGTTTCTGCTACTACATCATGTCCTTTAGGCTCAAAAATATGGGTGCTACATATCAAAGGCTCATGGACAAACTATTTGTCGACCAGATTGGCAGGAATATTGAAGTCTATGTCGATGACATTGTAGTTAAAATTCGTAATGAAGAAACATTACTCCACGATGTAGAAGAAACCTTCCAAACACTAGCTAAAGCGCAGATGAAGTTAAACCCAGCTAATTTACTTTTGGGGTAGAGGAAGGGAAATTCCTTGGATATCAGATATCCAAGGAAGGTGTTATGCCTATTCCTACCAAAATCAAGGAGTTCCTAGAGTTGAAAACTCCCCTCAATGTCAAGGGTGTATAGGAGATCAATGGTAGGTTGACGACATTGGGAAGATTCATTGCCAAATCTGCAGAAAAGGCGCTCCCTCTGTACCAAACACTCAAAGGGAGCCTAAAACAAAAGTAGTTCAAATGGATAGAAAAAGCAGATGCGATATTGCAACTACTGAAAGATTCTTACACCAACTACCAGCTCTCACCTGCCCGCTACCAGGGGAGACACTACAAATGTATATAGCAGCTTCTGAAGAAGCTATCTCCTTTGTGTTAGCGATGGAGAGGGAAGGCAAGCAGGTCCCCATCCATTTTGTTAGTAAGGACCTATAAGGGCCATAGGTCAATTACCCGGCCTCAAAGAAGCTATTACTCTCCCCGGTATATGTTTTTAGACGGCTATGTAGATATTTTCAAGCCCACAAGCTGGATGTTCTGACTAGTTATCCGATAAAGCGAGTGATGTTAAGGCCAGAAAAGTTAGGATGCTTGGCCAAGCGGGCCATAGAATTAGGAGAACATGATATCCGTTACCACCCCCGGACTAGCATCAAGGCCCAAGCCCTAGCATACTTCCAGGTTGAAATCCTAGATACCATCAAGGGGTTGCCACCGACAATCTCTATCTATCTACTAGAGCCTAAAGCCAGCAAAGAACTCTAGAAGCTATACACCGATGGCGCAGCAAGTAAGGAAGGCTCAGGCGCAGACCTGATCCTCCAAAACCCCAATAGTGAAGAAATCACTTACACTCTACGATTTGACTTCCATGTGTCTAACAATGAGGCAGAATATGAGGCACTCATGGCGGGTCTGAGGCTGGCCAAATAGGTAGGTGCAAAGCAACTAGCAGCTCTCAGTGGTCCATTACTTATCACAAATCAGATAAATGGAACATACGAGGCTAAAGAATCAAGGATACAAAACTACCTATATGTAGTCCGTAGCCTAACCAACACATTCAAAAGTTTTTCAATAAAACAAATCTCCTGGGGAAAGAACTTAAGGGCGCATGCTCTCAACAAGTTGATCACTTAACGAAGAAAGTGCTAGTTGAAGTACTCCCGGAGAGAAGTATTGATAACCAAAGGATTAATATAGTATCGACCACTCTAGAATGGACCAAGACCTACGTCGATTCCTTACACCATGGCTTGCTCTCGGATGACTCATAGGAGGCAAGAAAAGTCAAGATCAGAGGGTCGTATTTTGCAATCAGAGATAATCAACTGTACCAAAGAGGGTATTTAATCCCATGGCAAAAATGTATCTCTAAAATAGAGGGGCACACATTCTTGGAAGAAGGTCATTACGAGGATGTGGCGGCATATGAAGGCGCTCGAGCACTCATAGGAAAATTACTCTGCCTAGGAGTAAATGTGTACAACGATGCCACATCCTTACCAATAAATGCAAAGAATGTCAGGAATTCACTCTTTTCCAAAATATACCGTCCATTCCATTGACTAGCATTACCATCCCTTCCATGAATGGGGGATCAACATAGTGGGACCATTCCCACCAGCGCCAGTGGGTGTGAAATCTTTGCTAGTGGTCGTGGATTATATCACTAAATGGATATAGGTAGAAGTGTTGGCCACCGTCACTGGCAAGCATATAATAAAGTTCGAGAAGAAGGGTGATGCCAGAACCTAGACATGCTCAATGAAAAATGTGAGGCAGTATAGATGCACCAAGCACTATACAAATCATGAACTGAGAACTATTACAACCACCAAGTCTGGGACAAGAACTTCATGGTTGGAGAATGGGTGCTAAGAAATAATGAGTCCAACCATTCTGAACCATTGGGGAAACTCAGTGTCACTTGGGAAGGACCGTACAAAATTGTGGAAACCCATAAGAATAGTGCTTATGTCCTAAAAGCTTAGGATGGGCATGCCATTCCAAGAACTTGGAATGCACAGTATCTGCATCATTTTTATTCTTTAAACGAGTGTTAAAGATAGATTCAATGCTAGTAAAGGCATTTTGTATTAGTTTCAACATGTCATTGTAACCAGCAAAACTTACTTTACCACCTTCAGTCTTATAACACTCTAACCATAAAACTAGAAAAAAGAAAAGAAAGCAATTCAGATGTTTATTATTTTCAAGCTTGAAAAGTAAAATCAAGAGGTTGTGTGCATTTACCATGTGATAACAAGGACTGATCATCTAATGTCACACGAGCAAAATCAATACAAGGAGGCAACCAGGGGGTTTTTATAAAGAAGGTTCATAACCTTTCCCCCAAAACATGTTCATCTATCACATTATAGCAAATAACAAACATACCAAAGAACATGTGACATAAGTGTAGAAGAGTCATAACCTTCAACTAATGAGAAAGGCACAACCAGGTGAGCCTCAAGATGACGATATTGGCTACGCCTAGGATCTTTAAGTAGAAAATTAGAAAAAATTTCTTAAAGACTTGCATTAGTAAAGCACAAAGAGTTCACCAATAAAAGAACTCAGACCATGGGTATAAGCAAACCCTGCATAAATACTATGTGATGGCCAACATAAACCATACACGAACCGACCAAACAAAAGAATATGTGCGGTGACAAGAAACATTCATACCCACAAATTAAAAGTAAACATTGTCAAAGTCGCCGAACTCCCGGACTTTAAAACTGCCACTGAGGGCAGCAAAGACAAAAAAACAAAGAAGGAAATAGAAAACATTGTTGATAGGAGTTACATCAAAACAAATCAGGCAAACAGTGGTACTTATGGGCAGGAGTGTTACCATCACTAGGTGAAGAGCTTGGGCCAGGGCCAAACCCATCGTTCTGAGCGTCTTGACAAAGATCGCGGAGTCCGGCCATGTCCACACTACTCAGGCGGAGATACCTAGCAAAATCCGTTTCAGTAAAAGTCGCCATGACATCTTCGATCTCTTGGGTCTTAGTGAGCACGTCCACCCCAACCTCTATATTAAACTCCCTAGCAATCACCAACTATTTTACAGCTCTTCTTCCTTGTTCCATCCCTGCCGCCACACAAGTTGCCCGCACATAAACCAAACCTTGAAGAAACTGAGGGTTCTCGATCACCTTGTCTACCACCTGGTTGAGACCATCGTTAAGGACCCATGAAATATCCTTCTCCAGCGCCCCTTTTGAAGCGTTCTCCATGACCAGATCAACCTCCATCTCTGGCGTTCGCTCGCTTAGACCAGAATACTCGAAACTTAGGGATCCCACGCGGTTATTTAGATGCCTCACCTCTTCCTCCAGCTTTGCTATTTGTTCCATTAAGGCTGCCTTCTTGAGCAACACCACATCCTACTTGGCCTCCCAGTTGTGCTTTTCGGCTTCCATCTTTGTCACCTGGGTTTTCAGCTCTTCACATTTGATGCTTATCTTATCCGAGTGAGACTAGATGGTCTCCATATCGGAGATTCATTCAACAACTGCAACTAGGTAAGATGACACTTGGGCGGCGGCATAGTGCAGACCGTCAACCATGTGCTCATCCGCTAGGACAGTTAAAGCCTAAGTTGTAGCAGGAGAAAAAGCGTGCTGACACCACTCAAGAGCAGTGTCTTGATTAGAGACAAGGTCTTGGGATGTTAGCCTCCATGCTGGCTTGTAGGCATGCGGATGAGACCCTACAAAAAGGGGAACAGTTCATGTTTAACCAGAAGCAATTGACGCGAGACCTTGGGAAGGCAAAGACCCATTCTTCACCTTGGCTCCTCCAGCAGTGGGATCAGGGTTGGTCTTGCTGATATTTTCTTCATATATATGACTAGGTAGTTCAATCGCCCTGTTCTGTGCCCCCTACGGCAGTTTCGGAGGACTTTCATCAGGGGCACGGGTGTAACTTGTGGTACCTCCTAGTAAGAAACTCATATTACATTTCTTACGAAGAGGAGGCTCGGTGCTATCCGTCTCAATTCAACCACAGGAAGAGGCCTCCAAGAAAGCAAAGCGCCTCTTGACATGACGAAGGCTCCTCGGGGACCCGAAAGGGGCTTGATCCTTCTGAGTAGTGCCAGTGACAACAATGTCCTTCAGATCTGTATCCTTACCAGCACCAGTAGCACTTTTTGAACCAACAGTAGCCTCGATTCCTCGACCAGAAACAGGGGGAAGAGTCTATACAAGGTCAACGTCGGGACACTCAAGATTGTCGTCAAACGAACCTTGAAGATCTCTCTCCAAGGAAATAACCTCCTCCATACCTGGCATCAAAACAAAGACAACAACGGATTAACCAAAATGTCGATTTAAATGCGATTTGACGAATAAAAAGGGGGAAGGGGGCAAGAGAAAATAGAAGGAGAAAAATGATACCCTATTTCTCGACGAAAAATCGGGCATCTTTCTGCAAGCCCTCCAAACGGCACTCATCCCGCCAGCGGCCAAGAAGTAGTCAAGCCAATCCTTACCATTGATGGTAATCTTCTCTAGGATATCTTCCAGTTCGTTTTCAGCACCAAAGAGTGTTGGAGCGCGGTCGATTTACACTTAAGCCCTTAGGTAGCTGAGTACCATGAGGTCGTTGTTCACCCATAGAAACTTCTCCTGCCAGTTCTTATTGTAATTTTTATCGTGAATGAGGGTATGGACTCCCCGTTTATAAGAAATCGTATGAGTCCCCGACTGAGTAGAAGCATTAAAGAAGTACTTGAATGCCAGAACAGTTGGCAGGCGGCCTAGGGCATGGTAGAGGAGTTCAAAACCCATTATCTTGTTTATAGTGATTGGGGTCGGCCCCCTCACGGAAAACCCATACTCTTGGATAATTAGATTGAAGAAATATGTGGTAGGCAAATGCAGACCCGCTTCGGACAAGGCGATCGGAATGCTGACCTTACCTTCGGAAGGACTGTAAACCGATGCATCTGGAAGAGGAAGTTGAACCCTGTGTTTGGGAACAAACCCGAATCAAAACTGAAAAGATTCCCATTCTTCGGTGGTAAGATCACTTCCCAAGGAATGAGCGGTAGCCACGGAAGGATATGAAGAAAGGGTCAAAAAGGTTCTTTGGGGAAAGAATTCAATTAGAGAAAAGTAGAAATTAAGGAGAAAACGGCAGGAGAAACAGTGGTTCAAATGCCACTAAAGGGGGCAGTGAACCGTTTTCATGATGAAACTGCCGAAGAATGGCGATTTCACACAGCCAACCGCATCAACTATCAGTAGCAGCCCGCCATGTGGCTGTGAATATACCAGAACGACTCTATTATGTCATTAACGCAAAAGCCTACTGGTCTAATGGACTTGTTAACGTTACCATGAACGGCCATGTTAAATGTAACGGAAAGCATACATAAGACGTTATCATGCCAGAACATTAGCCAAGGCTCGGTCTTAGCCTAAGTAATCGTACACCGAGATGGTTGTCCGTTTTCCTTCACAAGGAAAGAATATTCATCGTGATCTTCTCATTCACTCACGACCAATCAGGACATGACAAAAAGCTTAGGTGATGCCTAAAACTGATGTCACCATGCAGTTAGTTATCATGGGCATAATTCTCCCAATTAGAGGAAAACACGTCTCACACTCATTGGGTTAGGTCCCCATGATCTGTTAGTAACAGGTATAAAAGGATCTCTTTCGTCTCAAGGAAGCGATCCATCTTCTCTCTCACTGAATTTACCCTAAAAGTCTCTCTCTCGAAAACTAACTTGATCGTCGAAGTGACATACTGGGAGAACACCTGGTCATCCTTTAACGGTTCTTCTGTGTTGTGTTCTCAAAAAATCTTCAAGGTTTGATCCATCGACCAACATCCCATCCCCTGAAGATCATGTCATAACAAGATGGTATGAGCTTTTGGTCATTTTAGTGCATAAAGTTTAGATCTTGAAAGTTTGTGACCTTGATATGGATATAGTTGGAAACTTTATCCATCTAAACATCATCGTGATTCATATCTGAAGGTTGGAGACTTGGACTTAATAGATTAAGTTGAAAAAGATGCACTTTTGGTCCCATTTGATGCTTAAAGGCTAGATCTTGGTGGTTTGTACCATTCTAAGGGATAAAGTTGGAAACTTTATCCATTATGGAGCTTTTATGATCCATAAAAATGTAATCTTGATCCTTATATACCTTCCATGAGAGTGTCATGACGTATTAATGGATTGATAAGTTAAGGTTTTAGCTTTTGGACCTTTTCTAGACGTGGATAGTCATAAAGGTGGAAACTTTATGACATAGAATGATGTTGTGGGACTAGATCTAAGTGTTGGATGAAAGGACTTAAGAGATTAAGAAATAAATGGAAAAGTGTCATTTGGTGGGGTACGTCGGGTGTACCTTCGAGTATATTGTGCGTACTCGTATAGGGTCCCGATTCTGGTTGACAAGTACGCCATGCGTACAAGCAGAGTGCACTGGCGTACTCAGCCTGAAGTTTGACTTGTTGACATTGACTTCCGTTGATCGTTGACTTTTGGCCCTGGACTAAACTTCAGGGTTTTGGCCCATTAACTAAGATTTTATCTGGTTCTGGTATTGATAGCTCGGGAAGTCTGTAACACCCCATTCTTGGTACGTGCTTAATCTATTTATATCATTTTTTAAAGAGTAACTCGAAGAGTAGCAACGCTAACTCATCGATAGATGCGAGGAGTGGAAGCGGGTTTTAAGTGATCTACTTGATGAGTCTGTGCTTGACTCGACGAGTAGGTCAGTCTGCGTGAAACCCTAATATTTGGGGTTTACACCCTATTTAAGCAACATTATAGGTTTCAAGTTAAGCCTCCATCACCTCCAGAGCATTAATCTCGAAACCCCAATTCCCCATAAGAGAGATTGAGATTACTTGGTGATTTTGAGAGTTATTGGTGCATATTGTAACTAGTGAAAGAGTTGGAAGGAAGAAGAATCAAGGGACAAGAAGTAGATCTAAGACCAACATCAGTTTCTCTTCAATTTCTGGTAATAAACCTTCCCTCTTGACTTGTGATTTCCAATATCTTCTTATGGTTATTTGGGCTAAGAATCTTGACTCTTGGTATTTGGACGTCCCAAGTCGATTCACCATCAGATCTAGGACCTTAAAGGCTCCTCATGGCATAAAGGTGCCATCTTTAAGGCCATGAGAACCCCATGCATGTTAACCCCCCCCCCCCCCTTTTTGGACTTTTAAGCACCAGTGATACATGCATGCACGTAAAGTTCATAACTTTACATGTTAGATCAACCTTAGAAGCCTAGATCTACCTTTTGGATGAGAGTTGTACACAAGAAACCGAGTTATAGACTTGGACAATAGGCGACTCGACGAGTTGTTCTTGGAACTCAGTGAGTTTGGGGTTTGAGTCCACAATCTGTTATAGTTTAAAGGAGCCCATCTGAGTGATAGCAAGGATTTAGACAAGCCCAGAGGAGTGATTCGACGTATTGAGACATAGCCATAATCTGGAAACCATGGGACTTGATGAGTGTTAGAATACACTCGGCGAGTCCAAGTCCATATCCTTACCCACAAGAACATACTCGACGAGTTGTTCATACAACTCGGCGACACATAGTATGGACGTGTTTATATGATGAAGGAGGACTTGACGAGTTGTTCATAAAACTCGGTGAGTCAGATGAAGGTTGACTAGATGTCATTATAGAAAGGAAACTCGTCGAGTCTTTGCTAAACTCGACAAGTAGAGTCGGATAGAAGGATAAAAGAAAGGATAGGGACTCGACGAGTTGGCGGCCCAACTCGGCGAGTCAGGTCAACTGGAAGTTGACTTTGACAAGATATTGACATTGACTAGGGGTAAAATGGTCATTTTACCCTAAGATTAGTTATCAGTGTTTGATTAAGTGTCTTTATGGGAATTGTAGCCGGGGAGTTACTAGAGAACAGTCAGACAGTTCCCGATCAGCATTTCAGCAGTCAGCCTTATGTGGTGAGTTTCCTTCCATTAGGAACGGGTCTACGGCCACAACTTTGGCCTGTTTAGATAGCAATAGTTCAGTATGCTTGATGTGTTTGTGATTCGGGCATGTCTATGTGTTACGTGTTTCGGGCTGCAATCCGATACAATATGCAGTATATGTGTTATTGTTATTGATGGGTTTTGTACATAAGAACATTCCTAAGTGCGCATACAAACCCTAATGCTTGGATCTAGGTTTCTCTATTAAACATGCTTTGAATCCAAGGCTTCTAATGACTTATTAGGTGTAAGAACAACACAAAATCAGATCTAGAAACATACCTTTGATTCTCTTGTTTGATCTTGTTGTCTTGGAGCTCTAGAGTTACAATTGTCACTCCTCTGATGGCTTACAAACACCAACTAGCAAAGAGGATGATTTGAGAGAAAGGAGAGGGGAGGAATTCGGCCAGAGTATCTTATCTTTAGATGGGTATCGAATTCCCTCACCCATAGGGTCTATTTATACTTGTAGACTCCTTAAGGGTTACAGCTTAAACCTTAGTTGGATAACTTAGACTTTAAGTTAATCCAATCCTTACCTTAGATATCCTTGGACGATTTGGCTTATCCTAGCCTAGAAATCGTCCACCCTATCCAATAAGGATTTACAGTCTAAAGTTAACTATCAAACAATTGACAGTTTATACCCTCTTATTTAATTAATCTCTTAAGTCACCAAATTAATACTAATTAATCTATGACTTATATTAATCAAATAACTATATTATTATTCCTTATATTATTCTCATAATATATTAATAATATCTATTCTCTCATAATAAATCATCCTACCAAGTTGCTATGGTGAAGGCAACCCAAAAGGACCATGCACAATGGGTCAAATACTTGCCTAATATAGTTGCAGCCTTAGACACTATTCCAACAGTCTCCCACTTGGATAAGTCTAGTAACTATATGCGCAGGTACATTCCGATTTGCAATCGTAGCTCTCAAAGACGCTGTCAAACTCTGATCTAATCAATCTTGTCCTTTAGATAAGGGATCGTACAGTCCTCTGTTAGATATCATGCTGACAATACTATGGAATAGTTAGTCTAGCATTTGGTTTCTCGATTTCCGATTTATTTGACATAGAACTTAATCGAACACATCAATTCAGTTCTGACCGGGCCCGGCACATAAGTCAAATCAAATCATCGAGCGGCCGAGATATCACTTTTTCCTTCAAAGGATAAAAGTTACAGATAAACTTCGACTTATATGCATTTACTTATTCATTAACCAACTACACACAACAATGCGTTTTATAACATCGAGTTACCAATGCGTTTTCGCATTATCAATGTACAATCAATTAACCAATAACAAACCATATATCTAGGTTTTAAGACTATATGATATTATCGTCTTGCGATCACCCATTTACTATCACATTCCATAAGGTGATTCCAGCAAGCGCGGGTTTGTTCCAATGCTCAAACCTAGTTCATAAGCACTCATGAACGTTGCAGCAATCTTTTGCTATGTCTAACACCATTTAGACACTCTACATACCTATTCATGACAATCTTCATTCATATCTACTTCCGACATATGAACGATTGTGGACTATTTGAACAATTCGATTATTCTTAATAAACTCAATTATTCTGGAAGTCAAAACATGCAAAGTGAAACAATAGTTAAACAATTAACATAAGATAGTAACATTACTTATAAATAAAACTCCTTTATTTAATCATCAAATGTTAATTACATTTATCTATTACATGTTTCTAATACTATCTAATCTATGCTAATATCATCCTTCAGCCCAATACTCCTAGCATGCTGCAAATGCTTAACCCTACTCAGTCCCTTCGTAAGCGGATCTGCTGGGTTATCTTCTGATGATATCTCTTCACTACGAGTTGTCCTTCTTCTACACGATGTCTAATAAAGTGATATTTTCTGTCGATATGTCGTGATCTACCATGATCTCTCGGTTCCTTGGTCAAGGCAACCGCACCTTCATTATCACAGAAAATCTCCATGGGCTCCTTTATGGCAGGTACAACTCCAAGATCTCCAATGAAGTTCTTTAGCGATATTGCCTCCTTCGACGCTTCGCTCGCTACGATGTACTCTGATTCGCACGTTAAATTAGCTACGGTTTCCTGCTTGGAACTCTTCCAAGTTACTGCTCCTCTATTCAGGGTAAAGACCCAGCCGACTGCGAACGGTAGTTATCCCTGTTGGTCGGAAAACTGGCGTCACTATACCCTCGCACCTTCAAGTCATCACTCCCTCCAAGGACTAAGAACCATTCCTTCGTCCTCCGAAGGTACTTAAGGATATTCTTCACCGCAACCGAACGGGCTCTGCCTGGATTCCCTTGATATCTACTAACCATG